TAAGTGCTCTTTAAAACTGAGGATTTTGCTGTGGGATTAAAGGGGTTAAATGTGTGAGATGAAGAAAAACACACCGTGAAATGTATTTTTAACAGAAATAATAAAAAAAATCAACAAAAGAAAACAGCAAAATACTGTAAAACCTAACAGTCAACTTCCTGTTGTGTTTTGTGGGTCACCATTGTGCTGGAGAGCAGAGCCTGCGTTTAAGTAAAGGATGGACAGAGAAACACTGATGTTATGCTGCTTGTTGTTTTATTTAAAGGCAGTAACTGTGTAGTTACTGATGCAGTGTGAATCTTTTCAATAATTTCAATCACACATGTATGTATGCTGCTGTTATCTATAAGAGTTCTTCAATCTATTCAAAAATAGTTCTTAAGACCAATATGCTTGTGTCACTTAAACATTATAAATATTTGTTTATAAACAAATGCCAATTGGCCAAATTAAGTGCAGTCGGTTTTTGCAAATAAAATGAGTTAACACAAGGGTTTGCGTATTAACATTGTATCAGTTAATGGAATACAGTTTTTTCACTGTAAATTTAAACAGTTCTGTAAAACCTAAAATGTTGCTACCGTATTTTTCACTGTAAAGTTCTGGCAACCATAGCTGCCGGTATTTTACCGTAAATTTAACAGATTTTTTTTTTTACAGTGTATATTAAATAACATAATTTTCATGTATTAAATACACTTGAAAGAGAAACAACTTTTTGTAACATTTAGTTTCTTTATGTATAGTCTATATATATCTATAATATTCTCATACTTTGACAGTCTCACCAGAAATAATGTTCATGTCTAGGATACTTCTAGTTTCACATTACTTAAAACAAAGCAAGACTTACCGTAGCGCTCTACTTTGAGACTCTACAAATGAACACTGTCTGCCACTTCCTTAAAAACAGGAACCTCATCTTGAGTTTTTGAAATGTTTTATATGACGCAGTAAAACAGTTGTTTGTTTGGTAAATGGAAATGGGAAGAAAGGTTAATTTGCATATTAGAGACACTGTGGGAGTTAGTTACACTTTTTAACAGTCAGGTTGGAAGAATCTGTAGAGAGTATAAAGATTTTTTTTTATTTATACTCCTCACCATATTGCATTCGTCTAAATAAAGCCAGATGACCTCTCAGCTCAGTATTTACTTCAGCTTGTTTGCAGTCCACCTCCGCATTAGTTCTTGCGTGTTTTCTCAGGACAGCGATGACCTCCGGCTCTGCTGGATTCTGACCCTCTTAGTCCCCTGGAATCAAGACAGCGTTTGTCTTTCTCAACTTTCCTCTTTACTGGGAAAATTTCCTTTTTTTTCTGTTGGTCACTGTGGAGGTCGGGAAATCTCTGCCTTTGGTGTTCCATATACAGAAAAACAAGACATAAATAGTGTATAACAGAAAAGATAAGATTGCACGCATCACTTACAAAGCATGAAACATGCAGGTCAAATGACAAATGTCAAATTATTCAGACACTTTGTAAGGACTAGCAAGTTCATAAACTGATCAAAAGTGACAGTAAAGACATGTATAATGTTAAAAAAAAAATTCTTTTTTGTAACTCAACTGTAACTCAACATTGCAATGCAGCTCAACATTGATAATAATCAGAAATGTTTATTGAGCAGCAAATCAGCATATTTGAATCATTTCGGAAGGATCATGTGACACTGAAGTTGAATGCATTATTTTGCATTTCAAAATAAATTAAAATAGAAAACAGTTGTCTTAAATTGCAATATTATTTCACAATATTACTGTTTTTACTGTATTTTTGACCAAACAAATGCAGTCTTGGAGAGCAGAAGAGTCTCCTTTCAAAAACATAATTATGAGTTAAACCAGAGATCTTTTATTAAAATTGAAATAGTAATGCATAAGACTAAAGCACTTTTCTAAATAAATACATAAATGTATCCACAAGCAGAAATGACTGGCCCATGCATGACGTCATGCACATTGCAAAACTGTGATGACTCACGAGTCGCCTTCATAATGCCAACAGCCTTCCTGTCATCAGATATAAAAAAAAATTGAGAAAAATTTTTTTGTTAAAATTGAGAAAATAGTTATGCAGAAACTGAAACTGGCAGATGAAGTAAACTGGGTACGTGGACTCAAATACTATTCTAGACAGTGTGGTTCAAAAGATGTAAGCAGAACATGAGTGCAGATTTAAGCTGTTGGTGGCACTAATAAGGCTTTATATTTAAATATAATTGAATACAATGTATTTTATAAATGCTTTTAACATCACTTTGTATTTCAGTTGAACCCTGCAATTTGAAAAGGACTGTGTTTGCGTTTGTGCAAACTGAAAGTGAAAATTAGTTTACTGAAAATTGTGTCACTGTCTATTTGAAGTTTTGATTAACAGAAAGATGAGTCAAACGAGTTGTGAAGTGACAGCAGCTGAATCTTGTGATTTGTTGGCTGATTGTGGTGTTTTAGTCTGGTCTCTGTCCTTGGTGCTGAACCACATCAGGTGTGCCGGCCGGACTCAGGCTGAATGCTGAATGTAGGGAAGTCAGTAGAAACTGAAACAAAGGTTGGGTTAGCTGTTTTCCCCAAGAGGAACAGTCCTTTGCCTTGACATGATAACATGTTTCTAGGAATGCAATAATATTCTTTCCTAAGAGTTCCTTAGGATATGATATATGTTGCTACACTGTAAAATCCAATAGTTTACCTTATTTAGATTTAGTTAGTTATCTTTACTTGGTTGTTATACTTACTAGGTTTTATTAAGTTACAGCTACTTTCAAGGCAAATAAAACAATTTACTTACTGTTTTGAGTGACACTTACTTAAAATATTCAAGTAGCCACAAAGGAACCAATGACATTAATAAAGCAGTGAGAGGCAGCAGTGCACTAATATGTTGCTAATGTGCAACATAACAACAGAAGAAGAAAAGAAAAAGAGTCTTAATAGACTTTTCACCCATTTCCTCCATGTCTGCAGTTATCTTTCACTAGTTGCATTAACTCGTTTCCCAAAGTCATCTTGAATGTTGAATTTTCAATACAACTGAAATATTTGAGAGAACATCACATAAGTTAACTTCATAAATTGATGTTGATTTTCCTCAAATGTGTTGGTTTTTTTTACGCACCATTATAGTGATTAGCGTTCCCTTTGGTTGGGCACTTTGAACTTGGTTTACGTTACTATAATTTATTTCCTGTTAATGCAGCAATGTATTATGAAGTCAGAGTTATTTGATTTCAAAGGAAGAAAAGTAATAAATTCGGTTTGCATGCTTTTTTTAAGTAAGCCCAACTAATTAGATTTTACAGTGTAGGAAACACTTGTTTTGTTTACTGTGTTGAGACGTGCTGAAGTTGCGTTTGGTCTTGTACTGTATCGCATATCTTGTCGTGTTGTCCGTTTGCTTAGCCCTTTGTTGTGATAAACTGTAAAGTTTGTTCTGCTGTATTCAATTTCCGTTTTGTCAAATGGGTATAAAAAAGGTTAGTATACAATGGCAGCCCTCGTGTGAAGGCCTCCTCATGTGAAGACCGAAGAGTGTAAATACCATCAACTCTTCCATGCGACTCCACCGGGCAGGGACACCGGCAAGGGACATAAGTATCGCTTTTGAATCATCCTCTTTTCTACACCTTGCTTCAGTTCTGTTTCAGTTTTTATGACCAACTCTTACTATGTGTTTCCATAACTCTACTATTACTACCACTCGCAAACCACGCATCACACACTATAGGCAGCTCAATCCTAACAACCTGTGCACTTAGCCTATGTCTACTAATACACTACTTTCTTTTTCTATTGGTCTCTGGAATTGCCAGTCTGCAGTAAACAAAGCAGATTATTATGAAGTCAGAGTTATTTGATTTCAAAGGAAGAAAAGGAATAAATACGATGCTTTTAGAAAGTGACCAATCTTCTAATTAAAGCATTAGTGCATTTATTGTGTGGGTTTATTAATTAACTTTATCAAGTTTATTTTTTCATAAATACCCTGAGATGCTTTCATTTGGGTTTAAATAATCCTTAAATAGTGTGTCACACACAGACTTAAACATTCAGCACGTGAACCACAACAATGGTAACAATTCAATTTAATTTATTTTCATTAATTGTAACAATAACCATTTTATTTGCTCTTTTTGTTGTGCTACTACTGACACAAGACTGCAAATAAAATTGTCAAATAAAATCAACAACTGTAAAACAAAGCAACTGCATAATTTATTCATGCCGCAATGCACTCTGGGAGTCAGTGAGTAGCTACACAGTCATGAGTAAACCTAAATGAAAGGATCAAGTACCCCCTACAGTTCTTTTTTAGTTACTAGAACTCTCGTGTAAGTAAGCTATACTAACTAAGCATCTGTCAGT